CAGTCATTACATGCTTGGCATGCAGAGTTTCAGGGTAGACGGAAGCATTGACAGGACTGGTGCAAGATGGCCCGGGCCTGGCGAGATTTCGCTCTTGCCCAATGTTTGGAGAAAGCGCAAACCCTGTCCCAGAGGCTATCACGATGCTCGATGGCCTGTTGGAACCTTAGGCTGAGAGCAGGGTGAAACTGAGAACGATCGAGCACAGGCCGATCTGTCCACGCTTAGCGATCACCAGAAGTTAAGAACATCCAGCGTTGGTGAGGTCCACACTGTGGATTATGGGGCTGGAAGGGGAGTTCAATGTGTCTCGGTGGCAGATGACACGGCCGCTGTGTGGTTGCCACCCGAAGGGCAGAAGTTGCCGGAAATGCACGCGTGTGAACGTGTGAATGATATTCAGCAGATCCCAGCAGTCAGGCTGCAGCTGAGTATCTGGAGCGGGCCAACCTCCCCACGTCAGAAAGGTTGTGCACTCAGACGTCAAATGGCCAATCGCAATTCTCATCCACGATGCCCACTGCCTGCTTACGTGGCTGCCGAAAATCCTTCCTCCAGAAATTGCCGCCAGGCATGGGCAGCACAGCCTCTTCGAGATCAACATCCGGGCCTTCGCAGGAACTTTAACGGATGTGCAGTCATTGAACGGTGAACAGGCATGTCCACGCATGTGCTTCAAGGCCTGCTGTCAGCGTATTCCTTGAGCGGGAAGCAGGTCTTTCTAGACACGGTCCGCAGCCTAAACTTTGGGCAAGGGCAAGGGGTTCTAGGTTGTTGATGAACATGTGTAGTCCCTATAGTCTGAGATAGCCACGCAAGCACATTACCCCGTTGCATGTTCAGTGGTGCCTGTGTGTGTAGTGGGTTGTATTTCTTTCTGTGTAGATTCAGTGTAGATGTTGCATGTGCACAGCGCATTGTACCCAAAAGCGTCTTTCCGCGAGAAGCAAAAGGTAGCATGTGCCAAAGATAGCATTGCATAAGGGGGTAATCTGACACTCCACATCGTATAGGTCGCGATCCCCGAACAGGTGGCTCCCTGTGACTTCAGTTTTTTCAACTTCCACCTAAGGGGTCATGCACGCCTTACTTTGCAAGCGTGATGATAATCCGCGCCACCCGGTGGAGGTAGGTGCTGGGACCGGAGTACGCAGTTTGGTAGGCTGAGACTGCCTACTACAGAAGGGAATATCTTGAGACGAGATAGAGATTTGGCATAATTTGGCTTTGCCGAGCACCCGAAGGACTCGGACAACTTTTCTTAGGAGAAGGTCCATCAAGGAAGAGGAAACAGCGCGATGTAACAAACATGTTTCCTTATGAGATCCAAGTCGGTCTAGGGTGTAAAGCCGTACGCCGACCTTTGCACAAGGCTGCTTGTTGTTTTCTTGCTGGGACCTCTGTCGGTCCCGGTTCGCAACGTGGATGGCTTTCTTCTTGCAGCCTGAAATTTGAAACTTTCCAAGTGACACTTGAAGCCTGGAACAGAAAAATCTCATCTCGCCTGCACGCGCTGAAAGTCCTTCTGAAAACTTCAATGCAGTTACCTCCACGGCAGGGAAACACCGCTCCAATTCCTAACCGATCTTCCTTGAATCATTGAAGACTTATGCGACTCGTGGTCACGTGCGTCACTTCCACGGTGTGGACAGCTTGTCGTGATACCGAGGAAGTCAACCGGACCAAGCTTTCTCCCTACAGTGTAGAGATGTGCATGTAATCCGAGGGAGGGCTGCGCGAGTCTGTGCGTGTACAACCGAGCTTCAAAGGGCAAGATCAGATCCCAGCTGTGATGAGCTCTTGTGATCTATGCCTCAAACAAGATGCGCTAGTCCTGTTGCACAGCATATGCCTCAACAATTGGAACATATTGGAGTAGGAGAAAGAAGATAGTCTGGACGGCTGTATCCCGCATGGATTCGAAGGAGTCATCACAAGCGCGCCGAACGTGATTGTTCCGAAAAGTGTCTGGAGTCTTGCTAGCGGGAGGAGTTCCTGCCTCGTGTGAGAGCCGGCATCTAATGAGCATGAGTAGTCTGAGTTTCAAAGCTGGGGTAGAGCAAACTTCAAGAAAACTCTAATTTGCATTTTGGAGTCCGATGCCTAGATTCCCAGCTGCCAATGATCAGAATCAGAAATACTGTGCCCTGGGACTGTTGGCATTCGCAGTGGTGACGTGCTTCTGTTAATGTTTGTCATGAGGCTGTCTGCTGCAACTATCTACAACTGTGGTGGGGTTGGGGGTTTGTTTTCGTTTCGCTTCTGCTGGGTGTTTGCTTGCGCTATCGCGCCAGAAACACCAGAAACTTAGCTTGCGTGGTTGGACTTCCTGTATGGTAGGTGTTGCCTGGCATGTTGCACATGAAGGCATTTTCATGTGAGAAACAAAAATGTACAAGGTATCAAAAGGGTGCGTGTCCCCGATACTTTTGGTGTCTCCCTTGGTGAAGTGTTTCTTTTTTGTCAGAAGGGTTGGCTGCTGTCAATTGTCAGGCCAAGAGGTTGGGAGAGAAGCTGCTGCTGGCCTTTGACACGTTGCGGACCTACAATGCAATTGAATTTGTGGACGCCTCATGTAGTGCGACACTTCTGTGGAACTCACGTGAGCATGCAAGTCTAGTGAGCTGAAGCTGTGCCTGTCTTGCACGCACACGTGGCTCTTGCGCACGGGTGCGCTCAGAGGCCAAGTGGTATGCCAATGCCAACGGCTCCAGACTCGAAGGGTTCAGGAGAAAAAGTTTTCTGGCTTTCTTGCTTCGCTTAAGTTATGGCGGTGCCCAACTAATGTAGTGAATGTACGGTGCCGGCGCGTAGTGAAAGGTGCAGGCAGGACAGCAAGACATGCAAAGATTTATTATTGCTCTTTTCGGATGCTGCCCGTTCAGATCGGCACTTGCGAAAAGAGACAGAGCAGCATGCTGGCTAAGATTGACATTGGCACGGGCCAAGTTGGCGCCCACTCCTGGAACCAGAATGCTGCACGCCTCCTCAGTACTGACCGGCTATCTGGTCTCCAATTGCTGTGTGCCTGGATCATGTCAAGCTTGGTTCAAACTGGATCTGCAGTGCCTTGTAAGAAAGATGTATGATCATCGTTGTGCGCTGAAAGCACACTAACATGAGGTCCTTGTAGGTGGCCCACGGGGTTCTGTCGTCACCCGAAAGTGCACGTCTTGCTTTCACTACTGGCTTAATCAGGTGTCAAGCTTGGCGCACATCTCATGCCTCCTGGATCTTTCGGGGATGAAGATGAGTAGCCCTCTATCATACGCGCTACTTCGAACAGTTCAGCTCCTGGTGCCCAGAGACAGTTCCCCTTCCTCTGAAAGGTGCTGGCGGAAATGACAACATTGCAGGCTCCCATGCAAGAATTGCGGAGGGCTTGTTCAAGATTATTGGCATTGTCCTAGCGTCCTAGCTGTCCTAGCTACCATTTCCTACGAATTCGAAAAGTAGACCCCTGCTTGCCGAAATCAAGGGCTTAAGATTCTATTCTTCCTCCATTGATGCAACCAGCAAGTGTCCCAGCAGTCATCATTCTCGGAGATGACGCCTCGTAATCCTGAAAGTAGTTGGTGTTCAGTGTTAAACTCGCTCTTTGCAGGTCGAGTTTCGGTTCATCACGCAAGTCACGGGAGATCGGCGGTGGCAAGATGCAGCCGACAAGGTGCCCACATATGTTGTGATGTGGCACCTTGCGCTGCCAAGAAGCCTTTTGCAAATCTCTTTCCAGGCCATGGATGTCGTGCTGAAAGCTGCAGGGACACGGGGACTGGTGCCGTTACGACCTTGGCTCTTTCCACAAAAGCGTTGGGTGGCTTCATGTTGCTTCCATGCAGCATCGGGTAGCTTCCAGTGTCAATGTGTGTCAGGTTGAAAACCTTTGTGCAAGGTTTTCCATTGAGTTAATCACTGCAATATAGAGGTGGCAGCTTCCCGCTGCAGCATACTGGTCTGTAGGGGAGGGACGGCTTTTGTTTCAATCTGCTGGTTTCCGAGCTGCTTGGCCCAAGCTAAGCAGGAGTTCAGCCAAAGCTGGCCTGCTGTGATGGCCTCTAGGCTGGAGCTGTTCACCAGCAGACCTCAGCAAAGTAACCACTGAGGGTAATTTTCTTCCATCAGAATTCGCAGCATCCAAAAGGTCGCCAGCCAGGTAGCCGCGGATTTTCTTTATTGGTGTGCGAGTAAGCAGAATGCCTTCGCGTGCCTTCCCAAGGAAATATCAGAGAATGTCTGGCGAATTGCTGGAGCAGTCCTGCTCCTCGTTTCTCCATACAAGATGTACAAGCAACTGCGTATTTCTTTTTTCCCGGAGGAGTCTCAGTTTACAAATTCTTAGCATACTGGCAATCGAAGGACAACCGCACCCACTATCTGTGTGAAAGCATGAGCGGTCAAGATTGTTGTGTGGCGGTTGTTTGGGCAACCAGTACTCAGAATTGAGTAGACTGTAGACAGGGGAACATCGAGTTGTGACCACTTGTGGAAGTAGTTCCCGGTGGGCTGAAAAGAAAGGACGAAGCCCTTCGGGGGCTAGTTCGATGTTGAGATGACACCCCTTGCTCAGAACCGCCATCCTCAAGATCTGCTCGCTGATTGGGGCAGCTTGGCAGGGACATGTGGACATCTTGTATTCTCTTCCTCATCTTTCTCGGAGTTCAGAGACGTTCAGAAGCGTTCAGCCCTAGAGCAAGGCGCAACTGCAAGCTTCAGCGACGGCTCAGGTAGGCGTGCACCTGGAGCGGCGGAAGCTACTCAATGGGGAGAAGCGTTGCAGGGCTGCAGATGAACACATTCTGCGCCGTTGTGGACTGAGCGTGGACATGGCTGGGCAAATCAAGGGTTGATGTGTGTGCATGCATGTGTGTTGAACTGGAAGGGATGAACCACTTTGCATTCGTCATCGCCCGCGCTGGGGTTGGAACAGAAACTGTCCCCGTTTTTGCGGGCTTCGTTTGCGTCTTGACAAAGTGATTGTGGAGCCAAACCATCCGAGGCAAATGCTTATCAGCGCTGGCAATGGACGTGTGCCTCCCGTGCCTGTTGTTCACCGACGTCCTCCCAGAGGCACGACTCCAACTGCATTGCTGCACTGGGAGTTGCACATTGCACAAACATTCCAGAAGACGATTTTGCATGCTTACCCTAAGTATCACACATGTGGGAACGCGTGGGAACAGGCAGCCTCCGCAGGCAATGCAGTGTAGTTGTAAACAGAGGATGATGGATGCCCATGTCCGAGTTAGGGGCAGGCTGTATTTAGTGCTTAGGGCATGATTCGGCTCGGTGTGCCTATGCGGTCGCAAGACATGCCTGCAGCAGCACTACATCTGCATACATCTGCTTTCGTCGCATGCGATGATGGCTGGCTGGAGCCAAGGCCAACTTCACGTTGCTAGTGGAGGGCTGGCAGTTGCTGCTGTGGCCGTTTGCATACGCTTCAGTGGCTTGTTGCAATAGGCACGTATAGGAGACTGCAGGCAACGCCACCAAACATTCTGTGTATGAATCTGCCAAGGTCAGCGCTCTACTGGGGATGATGTGCTGCCTGGCAATTGGCATCCCTTCCCAGCACTTGGGGGCCGCAGCAGCGTCTTGGCTGAAGCAGCTCCTTGCAACAGCATGCAGCGATGTCCGACTCTCGTAGGCCGTGTCAAAAAACTGGAATTGTCCTCGTTGCAGCTGGACAGCCCAAGGCCTGCGCGGCCTTTCCAAACGTGAATGGCTTCCCCGTCTCGGTGATCAGTTACTTTGCCTGACGTTGCAAAGTGCAAGAGTCATCGGTATCGTAAAATGTCTGCGACCATCAACTCTGTCACGGCTGCAGGAAGTTGCATCATTTGCCATGGAAGGTGCGCTCGGCGCTGCAATTCCAAAGTCTCCTGCCGGCTTCTCTCCGATGGCGGCCTGACAGGATACCATGGGACATCATGAGACTATGCTGCTACATGTTGCCTATGGGGTGCTTCTTGGCCGAGTTAAGGGCCAAGGCTTGTTAAATCACCACTTCGTCCACTTCCTTGGCTTAGGTCTTCCTGTCCATTATTCAGCTGACGGCTGCCTGGCAAAAGGGAAAGTTGCTTGTGACAACCTTTCTTTTCCTGACAAAGAGCTGCAATGAGCTGCACATCTACATGACGATTTCTTTGTGCATCAGGCAGATACACGGGTTAGAATAGGCATGGGAGCCCAGTAAAGCAACCTAGGATGGTCTGCTGAAGTATACTCTGGGCCCTGCAGTCTTTCGCCGGGACCGGAGGCTCCGCGATTTCATGATTGAGGTTTTCAGCCATTTTGAGCATGGAGAGAGCTCTTCGATAGGCAGGCGCATGCGGCAGGCTCAACGGAGCAAATCACCAAATATCAGCCAAGAACAGGGCAAACTTGGGCTTCATAGCCTCAGTTATGATGTCAGAAGAGTCTTGACTGGTGCTTCGCAGCTGAAGTCAAGGTCGGAGTCTGGAAGGGTGGTCGTCGTTGGCAAGCAAGTTGAGAACGTTCTTGGAATTATCGGCGCTGTTTTGCAATGTTTTGCGGCCTTAGTTGCTCGGTACATGTAGATTCGGCTCTTGATGGATGATGTTTGGGGCGCTCTGAAAATTACTTCGCCCGTCAGCGCTTCCACTCTTTGCTGAACTGTGATTAGCTGCCTCTTGCTTTGGCTGGGATGTGACATTCCTAATTTTTCAGAATACTAGATGCGTTTCTCAAATAGATTGAACATGCGAATTGTCAGCTTACATTATCATGGCGCGCCCTGCCTTTGACCTGCAGTTTGCCAATTGCTTCCACACCACAGCCGGAGAGGAAATGCACTAGGATAAGTTCGGATAAACGGTTCTCTGGCTGTCCGTGCTGAAAAGGACTTGGGATGACTTTGTTTTTTCTCCGAATTTTAAGTTCAATGGGAAGTTGTTAGCAACGTCGCAAGCTGTAAGGCCAAGGTTGCACACTTCCGAGGTCGTGCACTCAGGGTTTGCAGGAACTTGTTTTGGTAAGATGGTAGGTCATGGAATCCGCCAAACTTGGACCAATCCAAGTGACCAGCTCTGTCTGCATTGAACATCGCTACAAGTACCATCACTGCACGCGCACACTCTGCTGCTGTTGCTGCTACTGCTTGACAGGGATCTCGAGGTAAAACGGCACTACAAGCATCAACCTTACACGCAAGCAGAACATAAAATATTAGTGGTATTCGTTCGCGAAGCGTGACCCTCGGGATCCGAGATGCTGTCGAGCGCGATGCCTGGTGCCGCAGCACTCCACCAGTGGCCTATATGCCACAAGCATGTCGCGCAATTGAAAGGGAGATTCGAGAGCGCGCAACACCCGCCGAAACCCATGGAAAAAAGAAACAACAGGCGTAAAATGGCATGTGCTGTAAATGCAACCGATGGGATGGTTTCACGTGCCCCAAACTCTAGAGTCTGGACTCAGAGCACTTCAGCGTTGGTTTTGTGTGATCGTTTGCCTTTGATGGATGAATTCGACCCTCGTCTTTTGCAACCTTCTGTCAGCGCATTTTTAATTACATGGTAGGTGGCAAAGGATAGAGGCCTAGCGAATGCTCAAGAATGTGGGACCGCCAGCAGGGCGTATGTGGCTTGTGCAAACTGGAAGGATGCGGACTGCAGACCTGCCCCTTGGCGGGTCTCTTCATAGCATCGAGGCGCGGGGGGCGGGGGGATAGCTCTTGGGCGGTCGGGTTTTCTTGGCATCTCTGGAGGCTTTCGCCCCATGTCCCAAGATTTAGTGACTAAGTGTCTGGGCTGAAGTTCAAAGTTCACAGCCTGAGCACCTTTGCCAGGACGGTCGCTGCGTCAGCAGGGAGTGTTTGGATGCGTGCCTGGGACTTGAGTCTGAGCAGCGAGCAGCCCGGTCTCTGACTTCTGCGGTCGCTTTGGGGTTGCTGGGGAAGGTTAGCACTTCAAAAAGTTCGGGAAAGGAGTTGTGCAGTTAGTGCCAGCTGCGGCCTTCGTAGCTGAAACTTTCCTACATCATACATGTGCGTACGTATGTTCATATGCAAGCTCGACACCCCGGAAGTCGACCGCCGCAGCGCAAGACCGGCAGGATTGCCAGTTGGCGTCGCAGATGAGAGAGACTGGGGGACATCTTCGGTTCCAGCAGTGACGCAACAGTAAGCGCATGGTGGATACAATTTTCTTGTGACGACTCTGGAACCCCGTTACTAAGCTTTGCTTATCTTCCTTTCGTTTGCTTGTCTTGCTTGATGCATGCTTTTATTAGATAGCTGACGTGGGTTTAGCAGTAGGCCCTTGGCCCATGCTCAAACCAAGATCAAAGTCAAATCCACCCGCCTTTGCCCAAGCCTGTGATGAAGGTTGTCAGACAGGAACGGTTCCAATGGTACGGTCGTCACGCAGCAAACGACAGACTTCGGCCTCACCATGGATCAGGCTGGAATTGCGCAGCTTTGCTGAATGCCGCTAGCAGAAAACTAGCGCTAAAGCCGTGAAGACAGGCCCAGCTGCTAGAAAACATATGCTTTTTCTCAGCTCAGGCTCCGCTTTGACGGGGGTTGTTAAAATCAACACTAGTTACCGCGCGCCGCCTCGGCCTAGCTCGATGCTGGCCCTCAGAAACCCAATTCTTGAACTGCAGGGAGGGTTTAGGCAGTTTTTGAAGATCAGCTCCTAAAACATCATCGCATAGCTCTGGGAGCAAAAGGCTGGGGGGAAGCCAATGCTACTGAAGTAGCATCACCATTAAGTTGACAAGATCGACGCAGCCGGTCAGGAACGACCAAGATGAATAGTCTGGATGAGAGAAATTCCAGCAGCTGCACGAGACAGGGGAGGAGGTGGGGTGGAGAGTGGGGGATCCGTGCATCGCTGAGCGGAAAAAGCATTCACTATTTATGTCAAAAGCATTTTCATGTCTCTGCCTAACGTCAGCCTATTTGCGAGCACGACTGTTTGTGTGGCTAGAGAAGGGAGGGTTGGAGGGGAGGGGGGTCGTGCAGCTCTGAAGCAGAAAGCTGAGATTTCCTTTATTATGGCAGTATTTATCGCTCGAAGGTTCAAGGACATCAGCGCGCTTAGTGAGAAAAGGAGAGAAGGAGCACTTCGTTCATGTGCTGTTTATGTCTCCCTATCGCCGCTAAGGACTTCAGGCTAGCACTCGTTCATGTGCAGGAGGGAGGTGGGGAGGGCGGAGGACGGGCGAAGGGGGGGGTAAGGTTTTTGTAAAACGACGCAGGGTGCACCTGGGAGTCCACTGCAATGACTGAGGGCTACGCGCTCAATAATGGGTTGAACGCCGGGCCCGGTGAGACAAAGAGGGGGGAGATTGGGTAGAGTCTTTCCTCCCAATCTCCACCCACAGGTGCATTCTGTCGAGCCGGACTGGAGCCGCTTTGATGCCTACAAAGTGCCGCTCAGCTGCAATCATCAGCAACCTGTGGATAAAAGCATGTGCAAGATTTGGTTGGAGTGTCATGCCAGTGTGGGTACATGGCAATTGACTCGGGAATGCTTCCGTGTGCAAGTCTGTTTCGTAGCCATCTGAAGCTGTGGCAATGGATGCCTCGGGTACCGCTCAAGTCCCCACCCTGCCCCAACAAGAGCGACATGCATTTTGAGAGGTTCTGGTTTGCGGACACGTCAGACACTTCCAGCTCCAACTTGCGGGAGCCCTTCCTGAAACGAATGCAGGCTGGCCAGCATTCACTTCATCCTGAAAACCTCAGTTCCAACGCTTGGAGTTCACCCCAATGCGAAAAAGCAGCACCTTGCAAGCACAGCGACATGCGCTGGCAAGGTGACGCACCTTCTACCTAGCGCGTCTGATGTCAAGGACGTGATCAAAGAGACAGAGGGCAAACCTTCTGTTTCGGGTTCCACGCAGGTGTGGTAGATGTGGATAGCTGGAAGATACTGGGGTGAGAGTCTAAGTTGGCTGGATTGACGAACTGCCGATCGGGAGAGAGACTGCATGAAGTCTTTACAGATGCCACACCTCGGACAGCAATGCAGCTCGGTGCTTAATTAATCATCCTGGAATGACTTCATAAGACTGTTGCCGCGTCATGCGCGAATTCAAGAGTCTTTTGCGGTGTCCAAATTCATGCACCTCCCCCTTGGCAAGTAACCGCACAAAACAGGATGTTCAAGAAACACACTCATAAATTAGAAGTACCGCTAGCAGAGCACATGTGATGAAATTCCTAGCCAGGATCTCTAGTCCCTCGGAAGTCCTTCTTTTCCGAAACCAGAGCCCTTACTACACTAGGAATCCCTAGCAAGGATCCTAGGCAGGATTTGGATTGTAAAGAGAGCCTGACAAGCTCTTCGCAGGCGGGATTTTCAAGTCAGTACTTCTGTTTCTCCATTCAGTGGTCCTCAGTAGGAGTTCACTAGAAGCTCTTGTCACAAGCTTGTGATGAAGATCCGTGTGGGAGATCTTTGGGCAGGTTTTTATGAAATAAAATTATCAGGAATCGTGCGCAGAAGTCCCACGAAGTCCTGCTATGAGCTTACCGCCAGTACTCATGTATCCCTTGACTTGTTTTCGCTGAATGCCATGGAGGATTTACTGCGGCAAGTGGTGCCTCCTCAGGTGGCTCGGCGGAATACCTCAGCAGGATCGACAAAGCTCTCTTGCCTCGGATTGGCTTTGTTCTTGTATTCTTTAACCAGGTCAGTAGAAGAACACGGCGGCCACGCCTGTTATCCAGAGTCTGCCCTGTCAGGTAAGTGCTGTTCTACTTGCACTCGCGATTGGTATGGGCCCACCTGAAATCAAAGAACTGTTGGTGCCCGCTCCTGGCGAGGCGGCCTACTTATCATTTGTGCCTGGAACCAGATTCATGTTTACAAGGGTCAAGTCAGCGTGGGTAGTCTTGTATGGCATGCGTCTGTCTGTCATGAAGGGCGTGTCAGTTAGTTTTGGCTCCCCCTCAGCTCGGCACAGAAAAATCAAACAAGCTGTTGCCTCGGGGTGGTGTTTCTAGCGTTAAAGGGGTTTAGAAGGGGCAGGATCCTTCAAAATGATTCGAGTCGGAAGATATCTGAAGCGCGATGTCAATCCGAGGTTTTCGGTACTGCCAAAGAGCTTGGCAAAGGGTTCGTGCCTCTGCAGATGATCTCTCTGGGTGGACGCATGCTCAACGTGGCTGCTTGGCAAACGTGGTTTTCATTGATGCAAGAGAGATGAGCACGCAACGTGTGTGAAGCTGCAGCCCAACAAGTTCATTGGTGTGCAAGACTTACCTTCACAGTTTACAAGGCAAAAGACGGAGAACTGCCACCATCAGACGTTCAGTTGCAGGTCTTTTGTTTTTGGCTTCAGGAGGGCCAGGCTGATTGGTAGTTGCAAGCACCCTGTCAAGATGTTCGATGTGCTCGGCTGACAGCTGTTGACCTGCGTTGTGTGCTGCAGGTAAGCGATCATGGTCCGCTTGCTTCATGCGGCACGTCCGGTCCAAATACCCGATCCAAACTGCTGAGGAGTCGATAAGACCACTGTAGCAGATCGGGCTTTTTGGCACATCCTGGAACTGCTAGCTGCTAACATGCCGCGGTTACTTGCAGCTCCTGTGTTGTTTGGGCAGAGACTCTGGGCCAAGTTGGCCGCTCCCTGTCAAGCATCTGTGAATCCATGCACCTGCCCAAAATTTACAGAAAAGGTGTCTCAGATAAAGATGTCCAGTCAAACTTGGCCCAAGAAAACCCGGCACATTGCGTAGCTGTAGTTGCCACCGGACTGCTGTACTTGTTGCTACTGCTATGCTGAAGCCGTTTTCATGACTACTTTTCTAGCTTTTCGTATTTAGATGTTGTCGGAGTGCGCCGGGCAAGCCCAACGTCTATCAGCATGACTGGCCAGTAGATTGAAGGATGGAGCGCTTGGATGCATGACATTTGCCCTAACTTGAGGTCAGTTGATGGCTCCAGGCTAGTGACAGGTATTGACCCAGTCTCCACTGGGTACCTTTGCGGAATGACGCGCTTGGGTGGAGGGCCTTGAAAATTGCAACAGCCGCGTCCTTGCTTCAGTCCTACTGGAGCACTCGGCACAACCCAAGCTGCCAGGATCTCGGGAGCAGTTGCTGTTGCCAGAATGATCCTTGCGCCTATGGTATTGTACCTCAGAGCAATTCATGCACAGGGATAGCTTCTGCAAGTTTGCAGTAGAAGGGCAGTTTTTTCCGCAGCAGAGCTGTCTTTTGTAGCAGCCAAAAGCCATTTGTGAGAGTGTTCCTGGATTCATTGAACAGCAGGCGCCGCAATATACACGTGCATGTTTCGAGATGTAGCTTAGGTACTACATCGCATACGCCTTCGATGAGTGCGTGTGCCTTGCTTAAGCTGTAGCGAAGAATCGCAGCTGACACTTTGACAGGCTTCAAGGCTTTTCCCATGCCACTTCATGGACTGAAAAGAGTTCAAGATGTCACATCATCTCATTCTACCTGTTGGAGAGGCTGAAGCCTCATGGCCAACGTCGCCCGATGGCGCTCCTCAGTGGCCACCAATTCTGCTAGGCATCATGATGCCTGCTTTGGGGTTGTGGTTTGTGATGGTTTGTGGTAAGGTAGACTTGGCGAGGACTTTGGACATTCTTCCGGGTCTTCAGGCAAAGACATAACACAGTCCTTTGCCTTGTGTTGTCACGTGCCAATTTTCAGTTGTTTCATATGGCCTTCATGTGCAACGGAACATCATGGTTACAAGCGCATGCCACAAATTCTGCAGAGGTTGAAGCTAGAACTCCCACTCGGGCTTCCGCTAACCACCCCGCCTACAGCTTGAGGCCTGTTTGATGTAATGCCATGTACTGCCCAGTTGTATCTTGTAGCGCAACCCATCACCAACCTGCCATGATCATGCGTACATGTTTGACTTTGCAAGGCACTCAACCCCTCCTTACCGTTTTGGTGAGATATTGCTGGCCCGGTACAGTACAGCAGAGTAAAAACTGCGCAATCGACGATGCTTGATAAGGTTTTGGGCTCCGGCCTTCATTGTTTCAGCAATGCCGACGGCCAACAACATGCAGCTCGACGGCGCAGTCACATGTGGCTTACCGGGGCATAGTCGAGTGGGCACCACAGTCCAATTTTGTTGGAGTGTACTTCCTTCACCCTGTTGCACCTGACGACGTATGCCCTGGGCATACAAATTTAGTCCTCATTAATTACCACCATCCTGGCTGTACTACCTCTGGGCTTCAATGCTGCAGTGCTAAACAGCCTCAAACCCTGCAACCGGGAAACCCTGGAAACCCCTTGACCCAAAATGCCGAAATGTGTTTTGGGATTCGTGATCATTGTTTGTGCTGCTATTGCTTACTTTCAACCTTGACCAACAACATCGGCCTTCCTTCTGAACTTTTGCCCGAAGGTTTTCAGGAGGCAGGTGGGACAATTTGTAGCTCTATGCATGCGATGTGTAGCCGGCTTAGCTGACTAGATTACTGATGTCAGCAACTGGCAGGCAAGGGTTGCTTATGTTGGGGCTTGCAGCGGGCCAGACAAGTGCCCCAAAGCCTCAGAATGATTCGGTTAATGCACACCTCTGCTGCTGTCAGGCCCTGCACGTGGCAAGAAAAGCTTTTGAGGATTGGAGCCTCAAAATCTTGTCCCCCCAAAACATCTTCACACCTAAACGCCGTTAAGCGAAACGCCTACGTCCTGACGACCTTACACTGTAAGACACCTGCCGCCCATAAACCATCGAACCACAGCCAGCATCGTAAGTGTTGAAACCATTGCAACCTGAAGGTCCTAAATCCTGAGACCCCGAAACCTTCAAGCCGCCCAAACCCGAACGTACACTAATTCCATTGACCGGGAGCTAAACTGGGGATTTGTAAAGATTACCCTTTCCAGCACCTCTGGACATGTGCATCTGCCCTAAACCGGGCAACATGCCCGCAACTGTAACCCCTTCAGCTCCTCAAACTTGCAGCTCATGACACTTAAAACCCTGAGCCCCTCTGACAAACCACAAGTCCAAAACTAGAGGAAACTGCACGAAATTGCAAAGGCACATCTAAGCCCAAAAACCCGGACCCAAAAAACACCAAGACGTGCACACGCTGATGCTGCTGATGCTGGGCTAGCCGCATCGATCGATTGACACCACCCCCCACCACCGGCCCCCAAAAAACAACGCAACCGGGGCTCCAAACCAGGAGCACTATGGCTGACTTGATCGGCAGCGGGCGCAGCATCGCCGCAGCCACTACAGCAATGCAGCTGATGGCTGCGCCAGCATCTCGCCTGGGCACGTCAGTTCAGGGGATGCATGCTTCTAGCTCCAAGGCCGAGACTCCAAGGATGATTGATGGTGATGAGATGATGATGATGATGATGATAAGGTTGTTGTTGTCTTTGTTGTGGTTGTGGTTGGTGGTCGGTGGTTGATGGTTGGTGGTTGTTGTTCGTTGATTGTGGTTGTGGTGGTTGTGGTGGTTGTTGTTGTTGTTGTTGCTGTTGCTGTTGCTGTTGCTGTTGCTGTTGTTGTTGTTGTTGTTGTTGCTGCTGCTGCTGCTGCTGCTGCGACTGCTCTTGCTGTTTCTTTTGGTGTTGGTGTGGATGCTGTTGCTGTTGTTCTTGTTCTTGTTCTTCTTGTAGCGTTGCGGCACCATCCAGCACACGCTGGTAATACACGAAACCCCTCATTGGGGGGCTTTAGGACTGGAGAGTTGCATGTTCTGATCGCCTTGGTCAGTGGGCCTGGAATTATGGCTAAATCAAGTAATATATAGGTGAGCTGCAAAATATCATGCGCCTTGGTGCTCTGAAGCAATTAGGGCTCTTTCTCTCCCATGAGCGGCGTGCAAGGTAATCCTCGTCGCGTCGCTTAGCACGCTGCCGGGCTGAAAGTGAAGTAAGCTCATAAGGGTCATGTAGGTTTTTGAAAGCAAAAGCAAGGGGTCATCCAGCCAAGTCCCAGGCTTTTGTCACTGGAAGAAGACCTGAGCAGCTGAGACTGTCATCTGCTGTCTTGGCTGCCTAGTAGTAAGAGGGAGCCCTTCGGGTTTGAGCAGAGTCAGAGGCGGCATTCCTCGATTCAGATCCACGCCTCTTAGTCGTTCAATGACAAAGAGTCGTTGCGACCAAGATGACCGAGCGCCAAAACAGCAGTGGTTTTGCTCTGTTGTACAAACAGCGTACGGCTTCCAAAGCTCATGGGGCCAAATTAGCGATTTGCTGTATCATTGCCGCGCCGCGTTCTTGACTGAACCACCGTCAATATCGCATCACCATGTATCTTGCCACCTGCATGTGCCAGAACAGCAGGTTCTACTTCAGAGTGGTGGCTATCTCTCGATGGCCTAGCTTCGCGGCCCCTTGACTTTCTGCTGTTTTAAGAGCATGCATTCCACCGCGGCAGCGCGCACAGCAGCCGAAATTGCAAAGTGCGTCAGAGCGGGTGGGACGGGAAGATGGTAGCAAACAGCGTTCGCCAGAGCCGCCGCTTCTAAGCTGTGCGACAAAAAGGGCCTGTCATATCTTCAACGCTCCCCGCGGCAATTTTCCATGGTTTCACAGGCTGTGAGAGGCCATGCTTCCAGCGAGGCTACCGCCAGGCCCACGGACTTCAGGCCTCAGCAGTAGCAAAGCTTCAAAGTGCTGTTAGAACAAGCCCAGGGCACAGGTAGCTTCCAGACCCTGTTGTGCAGCAGATCAAATGGCAATCTCACAGAAATGGTGGCCAGCAACTTCAACCCAAAGCTCGTGGGGTCTTGAGTGTAGAGTTTGACGCATAGCCAGAGGTCAAGTGCCGTTTGTCCTAGTACCAGCCTGGAGCGCAGTTGTGGTTTTGGGCACCCTTTCATCGCTTTCACATACTTTGGATCAACAGTTTTATTGTACCATAGCTGAGTACTTGACTCTCAGCGACGTGGCTAGCAGAAAAGAATCACTGGACGTAAGAGTTGCATGCAGCTGGCTTTCTTCTCTGGCTACATGCTGCCTTGTTTCTAGGATGCTGTAAGTTGTAAGCTTGCTCACAGTGCCGAAGCAGGGAGAGCATGCAGAATAATCATGGCATTGGAAGCTGTGCAAGGATCTACCTCAGCTCTCCCAAGAAGCAAGTCGCGGACTTGTTGTGCTGAATCAATACAGATCCCTGTTATCTCCATCGGTCTGAGGATTTCGAACTATCTTGCAGTTGGTTTGGAGTCGGGAAACTGTTATTGGGTCGGGATCGCCTGTGGCCTCGAAAAGTGAACGCCCACGTTTACGTGCTTTGCGTGCAACAAGCATGTGCTGCATCCTTCGCGTGGAACTGGCGACTTCTGGGGGAGAGCACTTCATCCAAACGCGAGGGATGGCAGTTCCTCATTGACAGACAGGGACTAGCACTAGTTCGTACAATTGAAGCCACCCCGGTACAATCGGCATTCAAAGAAGAAACCGTATGCATAAGTCATGAGTGTGAGTGGAAGATAGCCCCGCATGCTGCACTTCAATGTATGCTCACACCCATGACCACGCATGTAGCCCACAGAGTGTGCGCCCGAGGCTGTGTCCTTCGTTGGGGCAAAGGTGTCAGTCGGTGCCATGGGTGCGGCCTGCAGACAGACGGGCGCTCTTTTGCCACATGTGTGCGTGAGTGCAGTCACGAAGGCGATTCGTATTACGAGTACCTGCTCAAGCAGTGGATCCAGGGAGGTAAGAAGGATGCCAGAATCCTAGTCTCTTCCAAGTTTTGACCTTGCACCACCTTGCCTGAAGGCTTTTCCAACTATGGCCCGTCTACTGTAATGCCTCATACCACGGCAGAGCAGTCAAGTGAGTGTGCATAGGCTGGGAAGTGTGATGTGTGTGCAACTGACTCGTAGGCAGGCAGCTTGAACGCGGCTGAATTGCCGTGCAGTGTTGCTCTACGGACATTTCGCAGATCTGCTCTGTGCAAGCCATCACCGCGCTGCCAGCAGATCCATGTTCCATGATCTCGCAGCCTGAGCTCGTAAGCCAGAGCTTGCTGAGGCCCGCCTCAAAGATGCCTGGAAGAGAGCATCTTCCTTTGCACAAAAGCATCCTCCATTGCACAGCTGATAAATGCAGGTTCATTGCAAGGTCATCTAGCCCCGTATTCCACTCATTATAAGGTTTGCACGGGGCCTTGGCACCCCCAACTGCAGCCTGCTGTTTGTCTCCGCAAGGCCATGAAAGAGATGATGGATACCATGGCCGTGGGCCCCAGATCCAAATCATACCAACATCTGTCCGTTTCGGACTGGTACCAGCACGAAGGACGCCTGGGCTACACTGACCATGTTCAACTAGGATATAATGGAACGGGTCGGGTATACGCACGGTTAGCTGCCATATGTCTCGCATTCCCTTCTTGCCGCGGCTGCTTCTATGTTGCACTCGTTTCATTTGCACACTTCGGAGTGAGTAATTGGAGCTGCAGCACCTGAATCTGAGTGGTGGATTCTCAGAGGAAGAAGACCAGGATCACTGGCTGCTTATCTTCCGCGCGTTAGCATAGTTTGAATTTTAACGAGTCAGCATGCTTCTAAAGGCTATAATGAGAACTCACTACATCCCACCAAGCAGCTAGCAAGCACATGTGCAACATTTCAGCGACATTCAAACTGACGGGGGCACTGGGTTGTGCAAGGAAGGGGAGGCCTCAGGGTCAATTTTCTGATTGGTCAGGGTCTGGTGGTTGCCACCGTAGGTAACACAGTCGAAGATCTCTTAGTTTGAGGTTTTTGCAAATGATGCATGGCCTGAGGATGTGTAGCTTTCTTACGGGAGGTTGAAACTACAAGAGAGGCACCCGGATCTTCAAGCTTACAGAATTTCCTGAGATGTCAATCTGAAGATAGCAGTCCGGGGCCCCCAACATGAGGAATGTATGGCATGTTCGTTTGGGTGAGAAAGAAGGGGACCTTTGGAATTTTCTGCGGTGAGAGTACCATAAAAAGTACCCTGTCTCGGTGGGCTCACGGCCAGGTGGAGGTGGGCACGCAAAGGGTGTGAGACCCCATCATCCAACATCATCCAGCATGTCCAGCATCAACATCCCCAAGCCACAGTGGATAGGGGATGAGGGGGGAGAGTTGGGGCGGCCTTGATGTGAGCCGCGCGGTGGGGTGCTTCAGAAATGACTAGATCCTGGTTTATGATGTCTTCCAGACCAATTCTGATATGAGGGATGATAAAAAAACCCC